CACCACATATGGGGCCTCCCCAGTGGTGCAGCAGGTTGAGCACAGAGCTCTGAAGCTATCCGCCGGGGAGATTCCCACATGGCGCAGTAGACCTCTCCTGTTGCACCTTCTGCTCCCCTTAGCAGTGCATTTCAGTAGACCTGCCTATTCTGTTCCCTGCTCTGTCTCTGATGAATCCTCTCACCCCTGCACCTCTGGCCTGTACCCCAGCCCTTGTATGCATAAATAAATCAATCTTAAAAAAAAGAAGTACCTATAATCCCATCCTATCACTTTTTCCTCCTCACCCCACCCCACTTTATATATCTTCCTAGTGCCGTCACTATCTAACAATTACTCAGCAGTTTCTTAGGTCTTTGACACCAGTAGTTAAGCAACTAGGGCCCAGGTCATTCTTTCCATTTGGCTTGTTGCTATATCTACAGTACCTGGGATATTGTCTGGGATATAACAGGCGTACAGTATCTTTTAAAAGAATAAATAACCCTCAGTGGGTATTTTTATTTAAAAAAAATAAGAAAAAATAGATACTTGAATATGCCTGCTTTTGGTGACATTTAAATTTGTTTGCCTTTGCTGTATATGATTTAGTGGATTTTGCCACCTAATGTCATTTCTCTCTTATAAAAAAATCTTGCTAAATGAGTCAGGTTGAACTGAATACATTCTCAGCAGTGGGTAATTAGTGTTCAAATAAGGATAAGAGTGGTGTTCCTTATTTTTTTGATGCTGGCCAACATCAATCTGAAGCACACATATATATTTAAATAAATAAATCCTCTTAATTTGCTTTAATTAGTGTCAGTATTATAATGCTGCTCTGGGTCATCTGTATACCAAATAAAATAACAGTAATGAAAGGAACTTGTTTCCCACTTGAAAAAAGACATATAATCTCAGCTTCTAACCCATTCTGGGTGGGATAATAAATGCTTTCATTCACATCACTTATGGCTGCCAGTTTGGGTGATTTTGAAATAAGGGATAGTTCCTGTTCTCATTTTTTAAAAAGGAGTACAGTATCTTTTATTTCTTGATTTTGCCCTTAACATCTTACATCATTACAGGACAGTAGTTCTAATGCCTACATGCATGTCTAATCTTTGTTGAAGAACAATTGCTTGATTTCACAAAAGGGAAAACAAAATAAAATCACTGTCTTATTGCAGGGATTTTTCAGCTGCAAGTAACAGAAAAGTCTGTTTACAATGGCTTAATCAAAGATAGGTTTATTTTTCCTACTCGAGAGATGCTAATTTTATGTGAATGAGCACCAAAAGGACATTTTACTGCAGTATCATGTAGGAAGTATTGCAATTTACTCAGATAATTTCCACTTTAAAGGATATTTTCAGTTTTTTGTTTGTTCTTGCAAAGAGAACTCTGCCATTAGATTTATTTTCATAGAAGGCTTAGAATAAATTAGGAGTTATTCATGTTGTTTGTTATAAAAAGTAGCCCACAGTATTTAGAAATAAAAAACTGCTGATTGATATTAGACAAACTAAGCTCTGAATGAGAATAAAACAGTGATTATCTCATAGCATCATGTCAGGATATCCTAAATTAATGCTTACAAGTGTTAATTGTTGCCTTATGATTTTTTTTATAAAACATTATTCAGTGCGCATCATGTGTAGTCACTGTAATAATTGCTGGGTATGTTATGGTAAGCAAGGTAGGTGAGTTAGATAGGTCAGTGTTTAAGGCCAATAGATTAGTCTTATTAATGATGAAGTCTAGTAAAGGGAGACAGGTGATAAATAGATAAACTAGGGAAATAATTTCAGGCAGAGTAGTAAAAAGATGCTATAAAAGGGTAATATGGCCAGGTATGTTCTCTGAAGAACTGATTTCAAGCCGACAATTTTTTTCCTTGAGATTGAATTCTATAAATATTTAAGTTACAAGTGAAATATTCTTGGTGAAAATGCAGTTATTTTCTGGAGAAAAACTTTAATTTTGTCTTAAGTTCCCTTTATCCTCAAGGTAATAATATAAACTGTTACAGATTATATAGGTTTATTTTCCCCAATGGATGACTGTCTAATTTACCATTGAATTGACCCATTAACTTTATCATAGGAAATTTACTGAAAAAATTGTTCAGAACTCTGCATTTTTATTTTTATGTTTTTCTTGACTCCTTTGTTATGCTCTTTGATGTGGTTTTAATGTTATAATTCTTCTCTATTAGTCGAGGTCATACCGCTGTTTACAAATTTATCAAGGAGAGAATTATATACCCATCAGGGCTCTGGATATAAATATATATCAGCAAATATTTAAAAGATCACTTTAAACCTTAATTTAATCAAGTACATTAAACCTAATAACATTCATTTGTTGAAATTTATAATCACATGAGTTTGTTGAATGTTATCCACACCAAACTATGTCTGGGATGGCTGTTACAAACTATTTGTAGGTTTATTTATGGGTTTTACATTCTAGGGTCTGTCACTGTGCCCTTGGTAGTATATTGTGAGACACAATTGGAAAAAACAGTCTATTTATAATCTGTTTTTTTTTCTTTCTAATAGATACTTTTATTTCCTGACTGATACAGCATATATCTTCATTAAATATTTGTTTATAATTTTTAACTATCAATTCTTTGAATTTGTTTAAAAATTATTTTCTTTTTTAAAGATACCTTTAGGGCCTCCCTGGTGGCCTAGGGGTTAAGCCTCAGCATCACCACTACAGTCTGAGTTTGATCCCTGGCCAAGGAGCTACTTACATGGCACAGCAGACCTCTCCTGTCTTGTCCACTGCTCCTTTTAGCTGTCTGTTTCAGTATCTGCCTGTTCTCCCCACTCTGGAGACTCCTCTCAGCATCCCCATCCCCTGCCCCGCACCTCTGGCCTATACCCTGGTTCTCCTATGCAAGAAAAAAAAAAGTGTCATCTTTAAAAAAAAATAAATAAAGCTACCTTTGAATAAGACATTTATTTCTACCTATGCTTCAAGATGTTTTACAAAGTCCTGAGTAGATATTAAGTACCTAAGACATACTTTGTTATTATTCAGTAAATTTAATGAAAATGTATTAATATTTGAGGTATTTTATTTTTTCCAATAATACCACACATTGGGAAACCTCAGTCAGTATTTTTATACAATATAACAATACTGCAATTTAAATTTCTGGTCTATATATAACCCTTGTTTGTAGACTATAAGCATTATGAGGGAAGAAAGATGGAATACTCATCTGTTCATTCAGTAAGCATTTCTTGAGCAACAACTATATGTTAGACAAGGTAGTAATGGCACTCAGTCTTCCTGAAATATATCCAATCTGTGGCTTATAGATTAATAAGAGAAATAGGCATTAAACAAATAATCATTTCATTTGTAGTCAAGGTAGATGCTATGTAAAGTGGGAACCTAACTTACTCTCACAAGTTAGCCTGAGGAAATAAAATAAAAGCTGTGACCTAAAAGACAAATAGGATTTACCCAGATAAGAATCTTACCTGGGGGGCCTCCCTGGTAGAGCAAGGAGCACAACCTATGAGGCTATCTATAGCCGCTGCAGCAAGAGCTTGAGCCCCTGCCAGGGAGCTACCCACATGGCTCAGCAGATCTCTCCTGACTTGCCTGCTGCTCCTGTCAGCAGTGTATTTCGTCAGTCTGCCTGTTCTGTTCCCCACTCTGTCTCTGGTAGGGAAGAGACCCTCCACACCTCTCACCCCCCACAGCTGTACCCCAGTTCTTGTATACATAAATAAATAAATCTTTAAAAAAGAAAGAAAGAAAGAAAGAGAGAAAGAGAGAAAGAGAGAAAGAGAGAAAGGGGAAGGGGAAGGGGAAGGGACTTACCTGAATATGCAAAACCCCTGGTGGGTTCAAGAAATAGAAAAAGCCAAAAATGGATGAATATTGAATAAGGGGAAAAATCTAGTAAAACATTCCTGGAGTCAGAGTCAGATCATGTGGTCCAGTCTTGGAATTTTGGACTTAATCCCACTGAAAAGTGCTAACAAGGGAAGGGGCATGGTTAGATTCGCATTTTGAAAAGGTCTATTTTGGACACTGAAGTCTTCCCTGAGTGATGTGGGGCAACAGACACATAACTGAGAGCAGTCAGAGAAGGCCAGTGGTGATGGGACCTGGTGTTGTCATCCTCCAGAGAGCAGAAGTTGTAAAATAATATGAAGAAATATAGACTAAAAAAGGCACAGCAAGGGAAAAAGGGCACTGGCTTCTTTAGCAATCCTGAGGCACATGGGGTATTAGAAAGTGAACTTTTTTCCTGAAGAAAGCTCTGGAACATAGTATCTAGCCAGCAACCAGAAGGGCAAGGAAGTAGGGAACTTGAATACAAAATGGAAGTCTGAGAGCTGAGGAGGGAGAAAGTATGGGGTTATCTGGGAAATAAGACCCAGAACTACAGAAAATCACAGAAGGGGTTTAATTGTGACAATCTGTAGCATGAATCACATCTTGGGCTGGAGAGAATTCATCTGGTCTGGAATAGATAAGGTGTGGTACGCTAGCTGGGCTGGGCTTTGGGTCAGGCAGTTCTTTCTTAGCTAGCTTTGGCAGCTCCTTGAGTAAGCACAAGGAGGGCAGTGCCTGCTCTTGCAAGCTGCATTTGCTAGCTCAGTTTCTGCCCAGCATTCGCCGTGGTTGGCACGAATTTCATGGGAAACTACAAACCATACCTCACTTTCTTACTTTCTCAACTCATGGCTATACTGCCTTTGCCAGTACTATCTTCTGAAAGTTATAAGTGAATGTACTTATATCTTTTTTTATGTCTCTATGTTTTTCTTGTTCTCCAATTTTAGTTGCTGTTAGTTTTATCTATTATAACCCTGATATTTTCTGCTAAGTCATTTTATATACGTCACAAGTACTCAGTAAGTATTTTCTAGTGGAGGTTTGTTTTTAATTTGTTAAGTCTCAGTGGATCTCACTTACATATTTTAGTTTTTCCAGTTTTTCTTTACTGAGGTTGTTTTCAAGATATGTTCTTTTACTTCCTGAAGGGGCAAATGATGTGAAAATCCTTCCAGGGCAAGCTGTTTGTCCTACTCCAGGGTGCAGAGGAATAGGCCATATCCGTGGTCCTCGGTATTCAGGACACCACAGGTAAATATTTTTTCTTATTCAAAAGATGTGAAGGGTGTATGAAATCATTATATAGATAAGCAATGTAGGTGGCATCATAACTGACTCCCTTGGCACCTCTGGATTTTATTCCCTTTTCCATGTTCCTAAGGCCCTTGCTGGACATTTCCTGCTGTCTGCCCACTGCTACCCTTCCTAGAGTCTTCCCGACACCAGGACCTAGCCCACACCCACATCACCCCCAGAGTCTCTGCGCACTAACTGCTTTCATGGTGAGGGCTCACATGGAACACTGACATGTATTCTCTGTCCCACCCTAGTCCTGAATTTTCTCCATGCAATTGCTGAGTTTCCCTTTCTTCTAGAGAAATTCCAGAACTTCTTACATTTCCTCTTCTTGTTTTCACCTTTCCTGTATTTCTTTTTCTCTTTCTTATTCATTTGGAGATGCAGTCATTCTGGGATAGAATAGAAAAATATTGATATATGTGAAGTTATATTATAGATATACCTGTGTTTTAAATATTTGATAATAGTGTGGAAAAAATAGTGTGCTTGTAAGAGAAAAATCACAAATGTGTAAGTCCTTACTGTGTTTTCTGTCCAATTCAATTGATAAATAATATGTAGATTAATTATTCACATTGGTGGCCTAGTTACCCAATATATAAATTAAAGCTGAACAGAACTGATGCCGCATTTGTCCAAATACCAAGTATATAAAATATATGTAATAGGTAAATGTATAGGGAACAGGCTAAGTCAAATAATATGTGAATTTAGAAAATGTTTGCTTGAATAAAAAAGATCAAAGAAGAAATCCTGTTTTATCAGGTGGTTGTAAGCCAGGAAAACAGGGCTCAGAACAGTTGTTAATAAGTCAAAACAAATATTAATATAAGAAATAATTGTAAACACTCCCAAGTAGCCTATGTGAACATGCTGTATGTGTAAATATAAAATTGGCATTTAAATAAGAAAACAATATAGTATCCATAAAAAATAAATTGAAGTTGTGAAGACACTGTAGTTACGTTTTAAAGGTGTGACCTCGCAGATTATGAACTGGGTCTGTGGAGACAGCATTGTGTTACCTCAGAGAAGGAGGGACAGAAAGACAGGAGTGGCCACATCATTAAGGCTGGTCTGTCTTAGGGGAGGAACCTGTGAATTTTTTTTCTGAAGGATTTTATTTATTTATTTAAGTAAGCACTGGGTACAGTCAGGAGCGCGGGAGGGTGAGAGAATTCACCAGAGCCACAGCAGGGAACAGAACAGGCAGAAGGACCAAAGTACACTGCTGAGGGGAGCAGCAGGCGCGGCAGGAGAGGTCTGCGCACCATGTGGGACCCTCGCCAGTGGCCGGGGATCAAACCGGTGCTGCAGAGGCTGTGGGCAGCTTCGCAGCCCATCGCTCAACCTCTGCGCCACCAGGGACGCCCAAGGACCCTGTGAATTTGATAGAACCTCTTTGTAGGGGTATGTGACTTTGAATAAATTTCCTCAGGTATGTTGTTTGTTTTTTTAAATCTAGAGCTGCAAAGTCAGTATGAGAATCACTAGTCAGATGTATCTGCTTAAATTAAAATTAAATAAAATGAGGGCTTAATTTCCTCAGTCACACCAGCCATATTTCAAATACTCAGTAGCTGCACGTGGCTAGCGGCTACCAACCTGAGTAACACAGAAGGCTGTGCAGACAGTCCTGGGAGAATTAACCTTGTTCTGCCTTCTTCTGGTAGATTTTTGGGTGATGGGTATTTCAGGATGAAATAATTAGCAATATTAGTGCCTCCTTCAGACTTGAATCATTATTCTCAAAGTTAGCAAGACCATGATCACACAGTTGGTCTGTCCCTTAGAACCTTAGAACACTGTGGCAACAACAAATGTTGTCAAGGATGTGGAGAAAAAGGAACTCTCCTGCACTGCTGGTGGGAGTGCAAACCGGTCCAACCACTATGGAAAGCTGTATGGCGATTCCTCAACCTATTAAAAATATAGCTTCCATATGATCCAGCAATTCCACTCCTAGGTATTTACCCAAAGGACACAGAAACAGTAATTCCAAAGAGTACCTGCACCCCTATGTTTATAGCAGCACTATTTACAATAGCTAAGCTTTGGAAACAACCCAAATGCCCAAAAATAGATGACTGGATCAAGAAGATGTGGTACATATACACCATGGAATATTACTCAGCAATCAAAAAAGATAAACCCATGCAATTTGCAGCAACATGGATGGAGCTGGAAGGGATCATGCTCAGGGAAATAAGCCAGAAAGAAAAAGAAAAATATCGGATGGTCTCACTCATAGCAGGAATCTAGAAAACCTAAATAAGAGACCAGGAAAAAGAATAACTATAAGAAAGAAAATATCAAAATCAACGAACAATTATGAACCAGAGAGACACTATGGGAGGTGGGGGCAGGGAAAGGAGGGATTGGGGTCAAAATAAGGGGGTTGCAATTGTATGGGGAATATAAAAATAAAATTAAAAAAAAAAAAAAGAACGCTCTGGCATTTACCCTCCTGTGGCACTAAGGCTAAAGTAAACAAGTATCTCTTCTTACAGCTTTTTATGATAGCTGCAGTGCTTACTCAAAGTCTCCTGCACGTTTTCATAGCTGACACACCTCCCAAACTGTTCTTCATGTACCTCATTCATCTTTTTCTACATGGATTCTGAAAACCTTGCATGAACAAAGTCATAATGGGCACGCTTCAGTTTGTTCCACCAGCTTCTTTCCTGAAATTTTCTCCTCAAATATGGCACAAATGGGAGCTAGTTGTTGTTCTTATTTTGATATCTTCTTATGAACAAAACTGAGAATAGATTATTTGACAGAATTTTCTCTACCAAGTAGTCTTTACCAGAGACTATAAAAATAAAGACGCGTTTAAAGAAAATTATTCTGTGAAACTTAGGGGAAAAATAAAATACTGAACACATGTGGTAGTGAGAATCATGGGACATTTTAGAGAATGACAAAACACAAAACACTGAACCACCTAGGGCTGCTGAGGGAGTCACCTTGGTGACTGGGTCATGACTCTTCCTGTCCTAGATCTAGTTACAACAGAGCAGGATTCATGTAAGTAAATGAATAGTCATCAAAAGTTTAATTAGTATATTGTCTTAGAAGAGAAAAATAATAAGCAATGAGTACCTGTAGTTAGTGTCTCTCTAGAATTGAAAAACACAACTGGATGTTTCTTTAAGTTATATTTTTATGTAGAACTTCAAGGCATGTAGTCCTTCATATAGATAAATTCTCATTTATCTATGAAAATAAAAGCAGATAGATTTTATTTAACACTACTTTGTATTCAAACAAACATCTTGGTGGAGTTACTATTGATGGTAAAGCAGTTATTGAAGGGTGGAGGTCACAGGTAATATAAGTTCTAGTAGGCACTGGCTACATCTCCCTCTTGCTTTAATTATTTTGGTGATAGGTCTGTCTTTATCAAGTTTAGACTTTATTGCTAGGTTTACTCATTGACTAAATATATTCATTTTCAATTAATACCTTTCTTTCTTTCTAAACCACCAGTTCTGTTTTTAATTAACTCTAGGTGAATGTCATTTACCACATTAATTAGTTTACTAATGTAATTTTATGTGTATAACTTTAGGACATCTTTAAATTTTCTTGTACTTAACTGGACCAAAGTTGTTTTGATATCATATTATCTCTAGGTTGTTTTTATATTATTTTTATTATTGTAGTCTAAATTTTACATATTTCTGAAGGATGAAAAATACGATTCTGTAGTATGTATCTTTGATAGTATCTGTTGAAAGCACTGTATGCACAAACCTATACTTAATATTAGAAACTTAACACATCACGATCATTGTCTTACAACTTGTTTTGTATATGTTACTGAACTGGTAAGCAAGAGAGGAGAATTTTAAAGCATTGCTGCTTTCTCTCAGAATCATAGATGTACTTTTAAAACTATCTGTAGGTTGAGTTTCTCAAGTTATTAAAGAATCTTATTCTGCAAGGTGCTTTTTACAGTCTCCAGAATTTTCTTAGGCAAATGAAAATGAAGAATATCAGAGACTTTCTCCATTTTCACTAGGTCTATATAAAGCAACTTGATTGACTTCTGCTTCTAAAGCCTTCAGGGACACTTGGAAGTGTAGAGCTGTGCTTTAAGGAAGGTAGCTATTTCAGCTGCTTTTCTAGAAAATATTCTCAGGCAGTGGAGTACTTACAAGTAGTGAATATTTTTTTACCATTCCATGTCAGAATTTCTGTTTCCGATATTGAAGCTTTGGTGTTTTGAAAGGAACTAAACAATCTTGTTAAATTAAGTTGTTAGCATCTTTTTTTGTACAGCTGACAAGAAAAATGGTGACATCAGGCTATCACTAAAGATGTTTGAAAATACTGTATCACTTTAAGAGATCAGGTAGTCCTTTCTAGATGGATTTTAGGCAGGTTTATTTTAGTTTCCATATTAAAATAGTCAAGGGGTTAACAGTAATATCCCAAGCTGTTTGGAGTTCATGTAAAATCTGCATAAACCACTGTGTGAAAGAAATTGCACCAGTTCTTATCTGTATGAAAATAGGATGTTTGGCACACAATTATCACACAATTTACATTTTATTTGAATTAATTTACATAGTGAATAAAGCGAAGTAGGTGTATTTGTTAAGAGAAATATTTAAAGATGACAATATTGGGACTACAACAGTGTAAACTTATTTTTAAGCCAGGTTCCAGGATTAGACATCAAGTTTCTTTTTTCTAAATGAGTAGAGCACAGATTCCAGAGACTTGATAAAATTCTGTATTATAAAACACACAAATGTAACTCATTTAGGAACTAATAATTATATTTTCTACACAGAGAGCCAGGCACTGTTACAATGGAAGGACTCTTGCTTGATGCCCTTATGTGGGATGCGGGACACACATTGCTAGTGTGACAAGTAAAGAAGACACATAGAAAGGTTGCATCTGCTACTCAGCAGTGAAGATGTCAGATAAATCCAAGA